TATATATATGTACTTATACTTCAGAAAAGGTGGGTTACACTGAATTTGATTTAGGGTCATCAGAGTATAGAGGGCAAGCCTTTCCGGTTTTAAATAGTAAAAATACTTATTTTATTGAAACGTATTTTCTTTTATAACTGAGATGTTTGTCAATTGCAAAGAACCCCCAAATAAAAACATTAAAGCCTTTGGTTTTCATATCATTAAATGTTAAAAAATGCGTATATATTTATCGATATGCTTTTTACTGCAACAAAGCATTTCTGATGTTCCTATACTTTCTATACATATTTCTGAATTTTTCAGGTGAGGATCTGTGGCGCTGGCAATCCATGAATCCCACCGGATTTACCAATGGCACATCGTCTTGATGCAACTGCAGCTACTTCTTTAGAAATCACCTCAAAAACAGATTTTTTTCTCTCTCTCTCTTTACAGATTTTGCCTTTGAATAAAGCTGCAACATGTGTTCTTCTTTATAAACTGTTTCAAGAGATTTTGTACCAGAGGAAGCATAATTATATATAATTGCTCTGCTTATATTTCAGGTATAATAAGGGAAATATTCTTTATAAGTGTACATACTAATGGGAGAATAAACACATTTTCCTACAGACTAAATCAGTTGCACCGTTTCACTTTATTCTTTTCTTCATAAATGAACACATTGCATTTATTTTAAGGTTAAAAGGAGCTCAGTTGATGGCAGAGTCCTAATCACTGGGCTATTCACTTGCTCATTTTAAAAGGGGCGCTGGGGCTTTAAATGGCTCCTTGAACCTTCGGGCACCCAGTTAATAAACACCCACGTCAGCAGAGAGCTCCAGTCGCTCCGACCGGGTTTCGGTCTTTAGGGCTGAGCAGGAAGTGAGTGGCTGTGGACCCTGGAGCAGAGGGGGGGTGAATCTGCGATAAAATGGATATGGTGGGAGATTTAGGGGCGAGCAGGCTCTACCGGGCGCCGGGTGAACCCAGCCACCAGTGAGTATTAACGGCGTTTTTGTAAAGCGGGGTGGGTGAGGAGGGGGGGAGATGAGGAAATGGGGCGTAAGCGGGTCTCTGCGGCGCGTCTCGCCTGAGAAAGAGCCGCTCGATCTGGGCAGCAGGCAAATCCTCCCCCCGCTGCTCGACGCGCTCCGGACCTCCAGCGAGGGGAGGAGGGTGGGATGAGGAGGGGTGGCTTTAAGGAGATATTAAAAAAACAATAAAAAAACAAAAAACGGGTGTTTAAACGCGTCATGTCTCATCAGTGTGTTTATTTATCTGAGCGGCTGTTTTCTCCATTGTGCTGCCGGAGCCTGAAGTGGGCGTCGCTCCAGGACAGCCAGGGCTGCTCCGGTGCGGCGCTGCCCGCTTTTCTCTTGCAGGACTGCAGCGGGGATCGTGTCGTTTTGTAGGTCGAATGGTGCCTCTTTAAAAAAAATACCAGCTTAGTTTAGCTTTGATCTGTTTCCAGAGGAGGAAGGGGGCTGCATAGTATGGCAGGCGGGTGTTTCAGCGTGACTTTATCGGGCGCTGCGGAGCATTTCACGGCCTGCTCATTTACGCAGGAAGCTTTCCAATCAGATTCATCCTGGACTCTAGATCCTGTAATTCAAATGAGGTTGAGAGAAATTTCTTTTTGTTTAAGCTGCAGGTCCAGATAGTCATGGTATAATTTAACAGACGCTTGATGCGTTTCATTCATCAGTGAGAATCTCGCTTTATAAAATTCCCAACCTCTGTGAATCAAGCACACAGAAATGATTATAGGGTTTGTCACCCGAAGCTCACCTTACTAGAGCCGGGCGTAACCCATTAAAAAAAAGGCGTTCTTTGATTGAAGTCTCTCTCGGCCAATCACAGTGCAGCAAATAGTAAAGTGGGCGGAGTGTTCCAGTACAGACAGACTGGCCTGTCCTGCCTATGTTTATTTTTATTTTTTACATAGCCTAAACTCTAATGTTAATATGAAGATGAAGTTTGGGTTATTTGGGAAAACTAAAAGAGGTCATCTTTAGATGTTTCATTGTACTTGACTTGGGATGTTCATTATTTATTTATTTTTATTTTTTATTTTTTTGCAACCACAAAAGATATCTATTTAACCTATTTAGGCAAAATATCTTACAAAATTCCCTTTCCTCCTATAGAAAAAAAATTTAAAAATCAGTCTCTCAAAATTGCACATGGAGAAAAGTGTGCAAAGTTGTGTGTGATGAAATGGACCTTGGATGTATTTTTTATCTGCATTGCAAAAAGGATCTAGAAATAACAAGAAAAAAATCCTAAATAGTATATTTATCCTTAATTTGACTTGGCAAATAAGATTATTTGCGTATTTTTACTCTTAAAATAAGATAATTAGATAATATGCAATTTAAATAGAACAATACAATTGATTTTTCTTATTTTAAAGGTAAATTGTCTTGCTTCATTGACAAATTGAACCGCTTCGCTCCTCAATTCAAGAAAAAAATGCCACTTATTTTAAGAAAAAAAAATGACTTATTTAAATTTCAATTTCTTTGCAGTGTGCTCTCTAAACAAAATCCTATATATTTTATTCATCCATGTAGAACCACCCTGTGTTTAGAAGAAAATGCTGCTATGAGAGGAGAAATCAGGCTGTGTTTGCTGTCAAATAAGCTGACATTATGTTGAGGGAGGCTCAAGTTTCAGGTTACCTGATCACTACATTTAGCTTCACAAAAACAAGGAGGTTTCAAAAAAATTGCGTTGCACCCGGCAGCAGGGGTTTGGGGAAGTAGAGGGACAGACTCACCCAGGGTGCCATTACATGGGTGTATAGCAGAAGTAAAATAATACCGGTAAATGTTGTTTTTAAAAATATATTTGCTGAAAAGTATGCATTGCATATTTAATCAGCCCATTTTAGCCTAATAACCCTAATCAGGATATACAATGTGATTAATCTCCATTAGGATCAAATAATTACTGTAATAAATAGTTGTGTAATTGTGTGTTGAGTGTAATTAAATTTCAGTATAAATTCATATCTTCTTTGAAGAGACTTTTAGGAAAACATTATTAAGAAAAAAATCATGACGATCAAAACAGATGGTAGAAATATTAGGGATAGTTTGAATAGTTTTATTCAGGGCTTAAGAACACTGAACACTGGTTGTTGCTCATTGTAGGAGAATAAAAAGAAAATGGCACATATGCAAATCTACAAATACATGTCCAGATCCCTAACCTGACAGCTCAGATAAAGTGTGCAGTAATCAGGGAAGCCAAAAGTGACTTTTTAGTGGCTGCAAAGATCCACAGGAGAATCTGTGAATAGAACAACTATTATTTGCCCTCCGAATTTTGTCTGGTGTTGATGGAAGATTGGAAAGATAACAGTCACTCTTTAATAAAAGAAGGATTTAGTCATGTTTGCATTTTGCTACAAGCCTTGAGACTCATCAACCCTCTAAAAGAAGGTGCTCAGTCAGACACCTAAATGAACATTGCTGGCCAACATGCAAAACACCTTTCTATAGAGAACAGCTTAACCTACACATAGTAATTCACGGTGGTGGCTGTATCATACTGAGGAAATGTATTTTCTTCAGTAAAGTCAGTGAAACTAGTCAGAGTTGATGAAAATAAAGTAGCTAAATACAGTACAGTTTTATGCAAAATCTGTCAGAAGCCACAAAGAGTTGAGAAATAGAGTTTAAACTTCCAGAACTAAAGGAATAGTTTAGATCAAATCATATAGAAGATTCCAGGAAAGAACAGAGAGAAGGAAAGATGTGAAACTCACTGTTCTGATTGTCTCCGTCTAGTGTGACTAAACATAATCTTTTTTGCAAATAAAATGGGAAAAAGTTTAATCTTTGATGCTGAAATTTATGACAGTGATTTAAATAGTTTGTATTGCTGCCAACATATACCACACAAACATATTTGTGTTTGTGAATGGTGTTAAAAATGAATTGTCCTACTTAGTTTAATTTAATTTAGGGATGCAACTAATCAATATTTATCAAATCTATTTATTATTTTTCCCGATTAACAGATTAATAACAAGGTAGCAAAAGGATCCTTAAAGAAGATTTTTTAATGAAATTAAACCAGGCGAAACTAAAACTTTTCTTCTTAAGTAGTTCTGGATAGAGCATATTGAGAGATAAAAACATTTTTTATATCTTAAATGCAAAATGTTTATATATATTTTTTTACAATTTTGATATAATTACTGCTCTAAGTGGGTGACTCTGTCAGCTTAAGGCATGTTTTGCAGTCTCTATATTCAAGTTAACGATTAATCAATTACTAAATTAGCTGATGATTATTTTAATAATCGATTAATCATTAAACTATCAGATTAGTTGTTTCAGCCCTAATTTCATTCCTATTTAAATAAATGATGCGTTTTTTCATCATGACGACATGTAAACAAGATTAAAAATATCTGATTTCTCAGTAAATTTTGTGCACAAGCTCCCTGTTGTGATGTAAGCATCCAGTTTGTATTTTGTGTTGACAAACAGGGATGCTGCTGTTTTTTTGTCTCCTGCAGGCAACCTCAGAGGTGGTTCAACACGGCCGACATCACAGCATCTCACCAGAACAACCTACTGAAGCAGCTAAACGAGCAGCGCCGCCGGGAGCTTTTCTGTGACTGCAGTGTGCTAGTGGAGGGCCAGCTCTTTAGGGCCCACCGCAATGTCTTGTTCGCCAGCAGTGGCTACTTTCGCATGCTGCTGTCCCAGGGGCCGGACGGGGTGCCAGAAACTGTCAACGCCACCTTCGACGTCTTCAGCCCAGAGATTTTCACCGTCATCCTGGATTTCATCTACTCTGGGCAACTGGACCTCTCCAGTCACAATGTGATTGAGGTCATGTCTGCAGCTAGTTACTTGCAGATGAACAGCGTCATCACCTACTGCAAAAACTTCATCAAGTCCTCTCTGGACATTAGTGTAAAGGATGAAGACAGTGATCGGTGCCACAGCATGTCTGAGACCTGTTCTTTCACGAGTGGAGCAGGAGAAGAGTCAGCAGAGCATCAGCAGCAGGATCCCCGCTCCGTCAGCCCACCGCCTGCGCTCTGGACCCGTGACAACTCCAGATCCCAGTCCAGTTTTATGGGGAAGGATTCAGAGCAGGAAGGTTCAGCCATAAAGACTGACCCAAGTAGTCCTGCTAATGAGCTCACTGCAGAGACAGATGATCTGAATGATCCACAAGACCCGCTTTACACACTACCTGGATTAGAGCGCCGGCGCGGGAAAGGCGGGACCAAAAGGAGAGCATCCAACAGCACTCGTTCAAGCCAGCATGAAGACCTGGATATTCAAGAGGCAAGAACCATGAAGGCTGAAAAGGCAGAGGAGCTTTATGCCACGCTACCTCCAATTGTTGGTGTTATTGGCCACTTCAATAAAGGTGTGTTTCACTGGACACACCCTCATAAAGCTATTGATGAGCAGACTTGAATAAGTTTGAAAAGACAAACGTCTCTGTCTTATCTGATCATCTTTGCAGATTCTAACCCTGTTATGCGCTTTAAATGCCCTTTTTGTACACACACTGTAAAGAGGAAGGCGGACCTGAAACGCCACCTGCGCTGTCATACTGGGGAGAGACCGTATCCGTGTCAGGCCTGCAACAAGCGCTTTACCCGCCTGGAGCATCTACGTAGCCACTTCGAGACGGTAGGTCCTCTCACAGTTGGAAACATTGAGCTTTTTCATGTAGCAGCTTCAAAGATCTACACAGAAAAAGTTAGGAGGAAAAATTTTAAATCAAGCTACATACCGTTCAGTGTAGATTGTTTTTTTTAACCCGTGATGCCATCGCTCAGCTTATTTCAGTATTGCCGGTTCACACATTAAAATCCATTTTAAGAAGACTTCAGTCAGCAGATTGAGCATAATTTTACACTCCTTTATTGCACATCATCTGCATGAGGAGTCTTCCTTAAAACGACCATGTAATGTACATTACATCTCTGCTCAACTAAAGCTAAAAAACCGTGACCTTTTTTTTAGCTAGCAACCTTGGGATACAATGCTCTATTTCTGCAGATTATGGGACATTAAGGTTCGGTACCAGACCTAGAGCTAAGCCATTTTGAAGCAAGCAGTGTGTCCTCAGTGTGGAGCACCAGTGGAACCTTCAACTACTGGTATAAAACTATTGGCTGTGTGAAGACTAAAATTTTTTGGTTACGGCAGTGCTTCTCAATTATTCTCTGTTACGCCCCACCCCTAGCAAGAAGAAAACTATTTGGGCCCCCCACTCCCCACCATGACGATCCATCTCTGCATAACATTGTATCCTTATTAGCATTAACAAAAAAAAGAAAAACATATGGTGCATATATTCAGCACGTTTTGCTGAAAAAACTCTAGCGGCTTATCGCCGTGGTTAGGGTGTTACATATTTAAGTGATGCGCTAATTTATTTGGCTTCATGCTGTCCGCTGCAAGCATTTTTAGACACACCAAACACACCGGTCTTTCCTCTTCTCCAACTGTGTTCACCGTGAAGCCAAGCGCTAAATACGATTCGTCGTATTTCCTTGTCTTAGCTGTCGGGTGACTCTTTTGTCTCATTATCTTTGTCTCTCTCCGCTTGTCTTTTCATCCCTGTTAAAAACTTTTTCATTTTGGGGATTGTTATGTTGAATAACGGAGGCTATAGATAGAACGCAGTCGGAGCTTTCTGTTGACTCAACACTGGCAACCAAGGCAAAGCTGTTGTCTTGTAAGTCGTAAAATGTTGCATTGTCCCAAACGTGATAGAAGTAACAATGAGAGCACCACTTCCACCTACTGTAGTGGATGCGCAATTACACTTTATACTAGTACGGCCAAAAAAAAAAAAAGCCTGTTCCCCAGGGTCACACACGCCCCCCCAGGTATCGCACCACGCCCCGAAGAGGGGGCCCGCCCCACTATTTGAGAAGCACTGGGTTAAGGTAATATACTAAAGGGTGCTGTGGAGTTAGGAAGCTGAGACAGAGCCATTTCTAGCAAGAAAAATGGTTCAAACTTACAAAAATCCCAACACACACACACACACACACACACACACACACACACACACACACACACACACACACACACACACTCCAACCAGGGGAACCAGCCCACTCCCTGCATAAAGAACTTTCTCACACTTGAACATTTGGAGGAAAAACAACTTCAGTTCATCAGGGCCATTCTCTGTTAGGTTAATATATCTTTCACTGGCCAGACGGATCTCCTCAATCAACATTGAAGAAAGCTGTGTAACTCATTCTTATCTCTCATCACCTTCATTTGGAGCCTGTGAGGGTAAGAACAGACATATCTCAAAATTTTTTACTCCGCCAGGCCCTATTTAACAAAAAAGCGGGGGAAATGTGACCCACTGCTAAGAGTGGGCAACCCACTCTCTGTGGGAGCATCTCCTGACCCCACTGTGTCCACCACACACGACATGAAAGTTCCCACCCTGACAACCATGTCCAAATGTTTTCCTGAGATTTATTTCAGGATGTCATGATTTCTAGTGTAACTCTTTATTGGCTGTTAAAGTTTTTGATCTACCAAAAGTATTTTTACTACATATTGAGGATCTTAAAAAGTAATATATAATTATTCTAGTTTTATGCAAAACAAATAAAAAGTAGTAAACTCTGAGGAGCAGCATTTGTTAAAGCCCCTGTCACACCTTGACGATTTAGACAGCGTATGCCTGACGTACGATAAATCTGGCAAAAGTGCTGGCATACGTTGGAGAAGCTATGGGTCGCATTGACGTATGCCAGTGTATGCTCATGTGTGGGCCATATGTTACAGGTAAGTTATATGATCATTGACACACTTTAAGTGTAAGTTTCCCATAAGTCGTGGTGTCTAGCTTATCCAAAACCTATGATTAACCTGTTCATAACTTATCCAGAACGTATCTCCAATGTATAGCAACGCATTTGACGTGTTCTAGATGACTGCTGAACATGTTTCTAACTTCTTGTTCTGTTTAATGGCGTATTGGCAGCATTTTAGTATAAGAGGGGTTCACAGGAGGAAAGCGTCAGTACTCCTCCAGACTTGATTCCCATCATAGGGTGAGCCAGAAGGTGAGTGTGATGGATCCTCCCTGCTTTCACGCCCATGGCCAACAAACTTCCTAGCAGACATGACGCTAAATTTGCTGCAACTGCAAACCTTTCTTTTTGGTGGGCGGTAAACAGCAGTTAGGTTAATACCGCAATCAAATAAATCTCTTTATTCAGGCAGGGCTCCTCCAGGCACATCACTGCCCCCCTCAGGACACTGTCTTGGAACATTTCATTGGCATTACACTGCCGTGCTTAATGCATAAGTTAGGCTGTCGTTGGACATTAGTTCTGGACTCGTTATGAATATGCTATGTATACACCCAAAATTAAAAAAATTCATAGAAAGTTCAGTGTATGCCAGAGTTTTATAAGATTCTGGGACGTCAGGCATACACTGGCTAAATCGTCAAAGTGTGACAGGGGCCTAACAATTACAGTTACTGGGTGGGACATGGCCTTTATGATTTTAATAGCTCTACTCAGTCAGTGTAGATATTTCCCAAGAGTACAAATCAGATCTGATACAGCCCTGAAATGCCCTGATAACTCGCCGCAGAGCTTTGAATTCCTGCACGGCACTATTGCCTAAAAGAGGTGTGACGATCATGGTCTGATTGCCTTCAACATGCGACCTGTAGAAGGTCTTGCCTGTGTGACCTAAGCATATAAGTCATTGGACAATAGAAAATGCTTTTTTTACCTATTCAAGGGAACCACCTATAGAGTTGGTTATTCAGCAGGAGTATTGGTCCTAATGTTTGGTCAAAACAGGCATCCTTCGAGGGATGAATGTTGTATTTGCCACTCAGCTTGACCTGGGGCCTATGTGAGTGGTTTGTGGGGTAGGTCCTTTAAACATCCTTTGCACCTGCCCGAAGAGGAAAGATGTAATTATGCACAGGGTATCAGGCATGTATGAGATGATTTGGACAAGTCTGTTCCTTCACACCGCCTATGTGTGCAATCTCTAGTGCTAAAGCCTATAGGGGCTCACAGAGGCATACATTCAGTTATTTTGAGTATGGAGTCTAAACTTCAGATTAAGCAACATATATCAACCAGGATTATGAAAATGTAAAGTAATTGAAATCTGTTTTAAATATTTTGTGGGTCTTTCTACAGATCCATCAAGCCAGGAAGCTGGTGTGCAGGAAGTGTAAGTGTCAGGTGACAGAGGAGACTGGACATGTGGTGTGTGAGGGTACACGGCGCTACCGCATGTGCACCAACTGTATTCAGGAGGTGGGCTGCGACGACATACCTATGGATGGTCTGCAGACACCCAACGAAGAGCCGGCCTTGTTACTAGGCGTGGATGGTGAGGAGGAGGGGGATGCCAAGAGGAACTGGATGGTGAATGATGAAGATGATCTCGCTGAAGACTCAGGTGCCGACCTTATCATCCAGCAAGTGGATGACAGCGACGAGGAACTGCAGTGAAGGAAGACCAAACTCTGTGCAGATATATTGACAATGTTTTATCTGTTCCTAAAGCCATGAAAAATAACTGGGGCCTGGATATGTAAATACTAGACTGTGCAGGTTTTATTATACTCTGCAGAACATTTTTTTTTTGTAAATGTTGCTTAAGTTATGCACTCTCCAAAGCATGCATGTTAATCTCTATTGTTTTTGGTTTTTGGTGTTGTAATTATAATAGTTCCTGTGAGTATTCTTCATTGGAATGCATGAAAACACACTTTGTCTTTGCAGCCCTTTGGGAAGTTTCCTGGCCATAAAGCTGAAATGGTGATGCAGACAAAATGGCAGCTTTTAGGGGTCTTACTAAAGAATTATGAGTTTAAGACATATTTCATTTGGAGTCTTTGTCTGCCATGTTTTAATTTCATTTTTATGATATGCACTATGGTATAATCCTTTAAGATTTATTTATTTATTACTTTTTATTTCTACTATCTCACACATTAAAGATATTTTTATACACCCGTGTCTGGTTTGTCATAAGTTGCTACTTTCAGTAGTACATCTCTATCAGCTACTCATAATTTACCATTTTTACATGTAGTTTTAATGTTCTAAAACATTTAAAGCTGCTTCTTTTTTTCTGGATATGAAATCATAAAGTATACAAAGAGTCATATCAGCTCATTTAAAAGTAGAACAAATTACTTAAAGAAGGAATGTTGAAAGACAGGTTTCAGAATACAATTAATATGCTAGATTTAAGATGAGAATGGGGGGTTTTTATGAGAAAAGTTGTGTAATCAAAAACCAGAACCACAGTTTTTGGTTCCCAGAGAATTAATTACACAAGACCTAGAATAAATCTATAAGGCTGAATATACACATTTTAGACATGTTTAACCCTTTAAAGGGCAAATTAAGAGTTTTTGATCACTTGCATACCCCTTACAAAGGGATTCCCCATCCTCCTGTCCCCCATCCCTCAGTGAGATCTAGAAGCACAAGATCTATATCCAGCCATTCAGCAAAGATCCTGCTACATGGCTGTACATCTTATTTTGGCATTCGACTAATTAGATGAGCCATTGAGTGATAAATTACCTACTGTAAATTAAGTTAAAAAAAAAAAAAAGTCAAGAAAAAAAGGTCAAAAGCTAATTGAAAAGTTAAAAAGTTAATAAGCCTTGTTAACAATTGTATCTAGGTTTATAAACTAAAAAAATTTAAGTGCCAGTGTCAGCATTAATGCGTCTAAGGTTATGTTGTAACCAAAAAAAGTGTTTCTTTCACTCTCAGAGTGTTTTTCATGAATTTCTTACAGAAGCACATTTGCTTTTTTTCTTAATATATTTGGGCAAGTTGCCGTTTCTGGTTATTACACTGACATTATTTTTTGCCATCAAAATATCCATATTTTTTTAATGTTACAAAGGAAATTGGCTGTTGGCTTGAAATTTAGTTTTTCAAAATATTTCACTGAGTGCCCTGTAAAGGGTTAAGGATTTGGGGAAGATATGATTTTTTTTTTTTTACTTAAACATCTGTACTTTAACAACAGCAAAAAAAGAATAGACTCTTTTGTATATATTTACACATACAGAAGAGGATTAGGGCCACTGAAAAAAAGTTAACTGATTTTTAAATATTATTTCAATTTAATATGGGAAAAGAGTCAGATCTCTGAATTTAATCTCAGAATTCTGACTTTAATCCCAGAATTTTGGATCTTAATGTAGATGGGCACCATAAAGGAAGATAATTCTGAGATTAAAATAAGAATTCTGAGAAAAAAGTCGGAATTCTGTCTTTTTCTCATATTTTACTGAAATAAAATAAAAAATCTGTTATCTTTTTTCATTTTTTTTCAGTGGTCCTAATCTTCTTCCTTATACACAGAAAACTTGACTTCTTAAAACTGTATCTCCAAGCTGCTATTTTTTTTCACTTCCAGGTTTTACCAGTAGGTGTCGCCCGCGCATTCTCCGTTAGAGAAGCGACCAGGAAGTAAGAAGTGCTGCTGTTGCTAGCCAGCTAATGATGGCTGCTGTTGTTGTGAGATTTGTAAACAGATGCACTTTAAGATTAGGAATGGGCCAACAGTATTTAGGGTTCAGCTCCGTGGCAAAGGAGAAAACGGTGAGTTATTTTGTGTTTTATCTTGTCGTAGGTTGAAATGAACGTTTGTATTTAGCGCCACAAAAAAAAAAAAAAATGAGCTAAATGTTTCTGTTAGCTTTCAACTTTAAGCTAATTTTGTTCAGTAAACCTAAAAGAAACTCCACCATTCGGTAGTTTTTCTTTTTACCAGCTGTTGCTTGGTGGTTTTATGTGTGTTTCCTTGTTTTTAGGCTTCCGTTAGAGCTGCTCACTCTCTACCAGGAAAGGTGAAAATCGTGGAGGTGGGCCCGAGAGATGGTCTTCAAAATGAAAAGGTGAATTAATATAACATGATTTATTCAACATCCAGTATAAATAAAACTATGTTATGTAATAATAATTACAATTTGAAATATATTTTTACCCATCAAAGTTTAGGTAAAGCAGGTGCTTTCTGATTGGTTTACTTCTTTCAGGAGCTTAATATAAAGAAACAAATACAGACACATTTATGTATTTTTTGGCTTTAAATATAAATGACAACAAAACAACAACTATGACTTTACACAAGCTGGATCATTAGGATTTCCTTAAAATCTTTGTTTAATTACATACATACATAGTCTGTCTATTCTGAGCTTTAGTGGGCACCTCTGTCAGTTTTTTTTTTCATATTTGATGTTTCATATGTATTACAATCTGAAAAACTCACACGAAGAGAAAAGACAATTAAAAGAAATTTATTGTTACAATTACTTTAGTCTTTGGTGCTCAGACCTCAGCAGGAAACACAGTGCTGAATTTTGATAGATATGCATGAACAGGAGTAAAGAATAGGGACGTTTCCCCCCCCAGGCCTGAAACTGGTGGTGGAGTGGAGATGGATGCAGTTGGTCAGTCTGTAGACTGCTGGTTAGTGAGACGGTCTCCTGAGCTTTATGGGGAGATCCAGTGGATTGTGTGAGCTGATGCTAGAGCTTCACTCAGGGACCTGGAAGATGGAAGTCCAGTTTGGATAACACAGGTTGAGAGAACCTTTCCATGATGAGCAAGCATAACGCGACAGTGGAGAGGAAAAACTCCCTGTTGGGAAGAAACCTCTAGCAGATCCAGACTCAACATGGCGGTCTTCTGCCGGACCGGTTGAGTCCTAGGGGAATGAAACTCAGATAAAGTTTTAGCTATGATGGTGGAGGAGGGGCTGGAGGTGGGTTGAAACGGGGTCATCTGAATTAAGTCACACAGAGCATCCACCGCCTGCGCACAGGAGCAGACAAGTTAAGGATTGGAAGCCTTTTAAGATGAACTTTGGATGCTGATTGGCTTTCATGGAAGTTTGGTTCAAACCTGATTGGCTGTGTCGTAGGTGGATGTAGGAGAGCAATCAGTTTCCTCAGGCTCCATTTAGTTTTATAAAAAAGTAGTGCAATCCTACCACGGTTATGACTTATGTCTCAGATTTTGTTTTACAAATACGTACAGGTTATTTTTATTGTTTCTGTCTTTATGTTTTTATTTTCTGTATTTAAAGTATAAAATCTGACCTTTTGACTTAACAAACTTTGTTTCAATGAAACCACATAGGATTTTATTTCTAACAACATTCTATCCATTTGAGAAAACATCTGAAATCTAGAAAAGTAATTTTTTCTTAAAATAAGGGCATTTTTTTCTTGAATTGAGGAGGTAAGTGAGATACTTTGCCAGTGGAACAAGACAATTTACATTTAAAATAAAAAAAAACGATTTAATTGTCTTATTGCAAGTGTATATTATCTAATTACCGTATTTTTTAAAAGTAAAAATCCTAATTCCGTTGTCAAATCATCTTTTATACCTCCTCAAATTAAGGGTAAATACACTTATTTAAGACATTTTGACTTATTTCTACATCGTTTTTTGCGGTGTAGTCAGCATTATTTATCCACTATTTGTCATTTACTTGTTTTGTTGTTTTTTTCTCTCAGACCATCGTTCCAACAGAGGCAAAAATTCATTTAATTAACATGTTGACTGAATCTGGACTCCCAGTCATTGAGGCGACCAGCTTTGTGTCTCCTAAATGGGTTCCTCAGGTACGTGTGTTGTGATACGCTGTGCTTTGAAACTGTAGATCGTAGGAATTATTTGGGCTTCGTTTCTTAAATGTTAACTGGCGTTTCTTTTTTTTTCTTTTTTTTGTTCATAAGATGGCAGATCAGGTGGAAGTGATGAACGGTATCAGTAAGAAACCAGGAGTGTCCTATCCAGTTCTCACCCCCAACCTGAAAGGTTTCCAAGCTGCTGTGAGTGCTCCACATTCTTGTAGTTCCTCCTCTGCCTTAAAATATGTTACTATTGTTGAAGCTTAAATGCTGCAAGTGGGGGTTCAAAATTTTGTTTTTTTTGTGCTCTTCCGTTGTAGCTAAAGGCAGGAGCTTCAGAGGTAGCCATATTTGGTGCTGCGTCTGAACTGTTTAGTAAGAAGAACATAAACTGCTCTGTGGAAGAGAGTTTACAACGCTTCGAGGAGGTCATGAAGGCAGCGAAGGAAGCTGCTGTGCCAGTTCGAGGGTATGACTCACAGCCTCCTCTTCACTCTCCTCCAGTAACCTTTAAATAATTTGGACCCGTTCTTAAACTCTTTCATCCATTTTTTTTTGTCATTACAGTTATGTCTCGTGTGTTGTTGGATGTCCGTATGAAGGACATGTGGCACCTGAAAAAGTTGCACATGTAAGTCCTGGATTATAACATAAAATTATTTTAGTCAATAAGTAATTCATCATTGTTTGCAAAACAATCAGATGCAGAGCATTTAGGATGTTTGTTTTTCCTGTCCTGCAGGTAGCCAAGCGCTTGTACTCAATGGGTTGTTACGAGATCTCTTTGGGTGACACTATTGGAGTGGGGACTCCTGGAAGTATGACTAAAATGTTAGAAGCTGTAACCAAAGAGGTGCCAGTCAGTGCTTTGGCTGTGCACTGCCACGACACTTATGGCCAGGCGCTGGCTAACATCCTCATTGCCTTACAGGTCAGGTTAAGTTCATGTGTCTGAAAATGCAAAGAGAGTTTTTATAAAAGTGACTGCAGAGTTAACTGTGGGGTAATTCTGTGTTTTTTTTTCAGATGGGGATCAGCGTGGTGGACTCTTCGGTAGCTGGACTTGGTGGCTGTCCATACGCTCAGGGGGCCTCTGGAAATGTAGCTACTGAGGATGTTGTTTATATGCTGCATGGACTTGGGATTCAAACCGTGAGAAACCAATTTCTAAATATACTGTGTATTTTCTTTGGAGTTGATTAATAGGGGACAACTAAAACTGCTTTTGTTTTTGTTTTGTTATTTTCTAAGGCTTATATCAATCATATTCACATCTTTT